ACAAAGTGAATTGTTTTTAGACAGGTCTAGCACCTCCAGGGCTCGGGGATCATCATGGAAGGGGGCAAAAAGAATCTAGGAACCGAGGTAATAGGGGGAGTTGCAGTGAAGAGATGACATAGCTGCTACCTCCTGAAAGCTCTGTAGATCTGAATAACACCCATGTATGATCCAGTCCTTCAACATCTCATCATGAGTGGGGAAAGGCCCATGAGGGCCTGTTGCCACATGAGGGACTACCGACAGGTGGTGCTGTTGGAAGATGGCATCATTTTCCTCAGTGGTATAGTCACTGGGAAGATACTCTTGCTCCAATTAGTAACTCCCACCCACACTCAGTCAAGGGAGTCTAATTAAAGGGCCACACACCAAAAAAAAAAAAAAAAAAAAAGATTTAAAGAGGTTGGGGAGGCTTGCTGAGAAAAAGTGTTCTAGAGGGGAGAAAGGGGTAAGAAAAAAACGAATGGGAATATGAGAATTAAAATTCATATATAAATGAAAGAAACTGTCAAACAATTTTTAAATGCTGCTGAAAAATGGCTATTCACATATAAAAAAGAGCTAAGGCGTATCTCTTATATGACATCAATGTACAAAACTAATATGAAGTGAACCATAAATATAAAATGTAAAATATGAAAACTTAAAACTTCTAGAAAAAGAGAGAGAGAATGATTGGCCACACTGAGGTCAGCAAATATCTCTTAGATAATAAACCAAATCAAATTTGATTTACTGAAAATCAAAACCATAAATTGAACTTCATCATAAAATTTAAAAACTTTAATCTCCAAAATGTAATGTAGAAAGTTAAAAAAAAAAAAAAAGGCAACTCTCAGACTGGAAAATAATAATTTTCAAATGACCAAAATCCTTTAACAGAAATTCCCTGAGTGAAATACATGGACAGTGAATGATCTTGTCACACAATGCTCGCCACTGCTGGCCCTGAGGAAGAGCAAAAATGGCTGACCACAGAGGTGCACGCCTGCAATCCCAGCATATGGAAGATACAGAAACAGGAGAACAATTGCAAGTTCAAGACCAGCCTGAGACACACAGCGAGTTCTGGGCTGCCCAGGCTACATGGTAAAACCCCATCTGAAAAGAAGTCTCTAAAATACTATTATTAACCTATTAGAATTTCCAAAACTAAACCAGCCACACCAAGAACTAGAGACGTAAGACCGTGGGGCTCTCAAACACAACTCATGGGAATATCAAATTCAACCACTTTGGCAATGAATTTTACACTTACATAAAGAAATTAAATTGTATCCATTTACCGTAGGATCAAGCCACTCCACCACCTAGGATTTTACTAAAGAGAAATGAAAACAAATCCCATATGCAAAAAGTTATACACACATGTTCTTAACAATGCAGCTATTTGGCAATTACTGAAACCTGAAAACAGTCCAAGTGTCCACCACCAGATGAACAAGCCAACGGGTTGTGTCTACAGAATATAATGCTGTGCAATTAAAAAAGAATGGAGCATCACTTGTGCAATAATCTAACGAGTCTGGGAGTAGCTGCACTGAAAGAAGTCAGGCAGCGAGCAGTGACTACTCAAGTAGTCTCTTGGTAGAAAACACTAAAGTGCTACCTATTCTAGGGTAGCATAGCTGGGGGTCAAGGTTGGAGGGTTCTGAGAGGAGGTGGTGTTTTCTTTCTTTCTTTCTTCCTTTCTTCCTTCCTTCCTTTCTTTCTTTCTTTCTTTCTTTCTTTCTTTCTTTCTTTCTCTCTTCCTAATACAACCCAGGGCCATTTTCCCAGGAACGGCACCACTCAGAGCAGACTGGTCTCTTCCATATCAATCATCAAGAAAATTCCCCAGAGGCTCATTACCAACAGACCAATCTGATAGAAGCCATTAATCAACTGAAGTTCCCTCTTTCCGGGTGACTCCAGCTTGTGTCATGTGGACAAAATAATAATAATAATAATAATAATCAGCATAGATGTGATGGATGTATTCACTAACTTGGTGTCGAGGATTGTATCACAGAAGTACATATATATAAACGTTTATCAGAATGTATCCTTTACATATCTGCAGTTTATACATGCTAGTTTTACCTCCATAGAGGTGGAATTAGAGAGCAATGAAGAAAAAGAAATGGGCAGAAGTGGAAACAGAAGAGGGGAAAAGGGGAGGCAGAAGAATTAAAAGGAAGAGGAAGAGAAGGAAAGGAGATAAAGACGAAGAGAATGGGGAAAGAGAAGAAAATGATGCCAGAACTCAGTTTTTCCACATTTCACTTCAGTTAGTTGCCAAGAGAGGTTGAGGACACTGGCTTCCTAGAAACACAGCCCAAACAGGAACCACTACCACCCTAGGTTAGACCTCCAGCAGAGCTCTCTACCCCAGCTTTTAAACTTGAACATCTGAATTGTGTTTGTCACTGTCCCAAACAATTCCTGGCTTCAAAGCCGCAGGAGATCGCCCATTGCCATCACTACTTCCCACCCACAGGGCGGCCCTGTCCTAATTCAGCAGGGAAACAGAACAAGAGAGCTCCAGTGAGAGACGTGTAAACAGGAGGAGTCATCTGGGTCTCCCACAGCCACCCTCTTCCCAACCACCACAAGGAACAATGGGACAGGAAGCTGGGGGCTGCGGCTCTTGGGCAGTTACGCAAACCAAGTTGGCACCCAGCAAGCCTTTTGTTCAGAGATTTTTTAAAAGTCAACCCTCTTATAAACAAGGCAGAGTGTTTTCTCCCTTGGGAAAGCATGTGGCTGCTTTTCTGGTTTACCCCATTCTCAGTGAGATCATTTTAGAGAGGCAGTTTCTGAGCCCTTGCACCCGGGTGGGACCACCATGCTAGTGAGTGGCTAGCAACTTGCTCAATGAGTGCATGAATGGACTAAGCTCTTGATATATATATATTTTTTTTAAAAAAATCCCAACTTAAAATAGCCATCTAGGCCTCATTTTTAATAGAGTCCCTGTCCATTCAGAGACTTTCATAAATAACCCACAATTAATGCCGTGTATTTATCTGTAAAGCCACGTACTTGAAATATACAGGGGCTGAGTTTGTTTATGAGACAGAAAGCTTTGATCCCAAGACAAAAATAGAGCAGTGGGATTCAAGTAAATTTACCTTGTTCTCTCCAGGAGCCTCAGGTTTAACCCATTGGGAAGAGTTCAGTCTCAGGTGATGCAGAACTCTTGTCTTCACAAGCACTCTGAGAGGCACAATTAGCTAACCCCTCCTTCCCAGCAAGGATGCTCTGGGAAGAGAAGCATCTCTTTCATAAGTGGACCCCTTAATTGGGTTTATTCCTGTGTGGATTTCTACCCAGAAGACACAATGTAATTATTCCCTAGTCGGGTCAATATACCAAAATCTTAAGTCACATCTCATCATGCCCAGGCTTGAGACTTCTCAGTTATTCCCCAGTGCCCTTGTGGGTGGGATCAAGATACCTTATAAGGCCTTTCGGAACTCCTCTGGAATCTGACCTGGTCCCTGACTACCTAGATGCCACCGTGTTCAGGACGTCTGTTTCAGGTCTTCACACATAAGAGATGTTTTCCGACCATCAGTATTTCTTCTCTCGTCTCTGCTTTCCTTGAGGCCAGCTCTTCTCCTGCCCCAAATCCAAACTAGAACGTTGTCTACAAGGTCATTCCCTTTCCCCACCCTTGACACTTGCATGCCTGTCACTAAACTCCAGCACTTTTCAATAGCATCTTTCTCTAACTGAAAAACACGTTTTACGAGTCCAGGAACCATGCAAGGTTTTATACATTGTTTTATCCCTGCTGGCCAGCTGGCATGTGATGCTCATTACGTCAATCACTGAATACAGAATGAATAAGGAACTGTACTCCTGTTCACGTCTACCCTCCTTGCTCTCTAGCCCAAAGCCCAAGCCTGCTCACCACTCACACCTCATTCTTTTCCTGTCCCTAAAAAATCCTCCCTACGCTTCCTGTTTTTCAGGGTTTAAACACAAGGCATGCAAAGTAGCAAAGATATGCCTGCAACAGTTGGTGCCCAATTAATGTAACTAAACTTAGCAAGACAATAATCACTAAAGTAGACTTGTGGCCCTGTTTCAAGTGTTGCCTGTAAATTTTCGAATACTCTTTGGGACCATCTTTTGATGTCATGTTGTTTTCTTTATTTTTTTTTCCACTCGGCACTTTTTCTCTCTTAAACTAATACATTTTAAAGGATTATTTGTAAAACCTTAAAAACCCATTTTATCTACCAAAGAACCAATCGAGATCACCGCCACAGTGGAAACAAAGCCATATGCTTCTATTTAATTTTTAAAAATGATAATACCGGCAGCAATTGGAAATGTGACAATATTATTGACAACATTAATAAGGCAATTACATCTCTTTCCGTAAGGTGATTAACAACTTCAATGACCTCTTTTCTCTATACATCAATATTATTTGAAGTCATAACTATGTGCTTTGAAATCCCATTCATACCCTCTGTCATTGTACTGTGACTAACACCTTGCCTTTGGCAATTCTTCTGCTCTAACTTGGTTGGCTGCTTGTATAGACTTACTTTCTTCTCTTTACATTCTCTATGGTTCTTAGGTGGATGTTTTATATAGAATGCATGATTAATGCCGTTTTTGTTTTTGTAGGGCAGGGAATTAAACACAGTGTCTTGCACATATTCAGTCAACTAATGTTATCTATATCTTTAGTCCCATAAAACAGCTAAGGTTGACTCTACTATTGAGCGTTTTTAACTGAACCAATCAATAGAGACTTCCAAAGTCTGGAATGCCTTACAAAACAATTTTTCCCTGTTCTAATTCACTTTTTTTCTCTGCCCTTCTGAGTCCCCATATGTGTGTGCCTATACCATCATACAGTTAATTATCCTATACCATCATACAGTTAATTATCAAGGATGCAGATGGGAAGACTCAATGCAAGAAATGTGTTTCTCATGAGCATGCCAACACGTGAAGTAAGCCCGCAGTTTCACAAATGAAACAAAGGCCAGACAGAACCAGGGGAAATCTGAACGTGTGATTTATTATCGTTACGATTGGTCTATAAGGCTTAAATATGTCGGTCAGCGTTAACAGCAGATGAATGTAGCTTTACAAAATCAGTATCTCAATACGGAACAGGACTACGTGTGGTAACTGTGCACTGGAAAATTAGTATTTCCTCGCTGCAAATGTTCAGTCTGCAGCACCATGTGGAAGCTTCTGCTTGGATCATGAGCCGCAGTGTTCGCTAGAAGTTCTCTACTCAGAACACAGCTCAGTCTAACTCAAGCATTAAAGGAAAAATAACAGGTTTACTATGTCAGATTTGGTATAGGATTAAAATACTAAGTGTTTTTTTTATGTCCTGCTTCAAATTAATAAATACAAACACAATATAAAAATATACACCAGTTGCTGAGAACACACTGCACATGCCCAGAAAGTTAAATCTCGCTCTCGTATGTATGCAGGTATGTCTTGAGGGCCAGAATTTCTGAATAGCTCCGGCTCGTCTTCCGGTAGAAGTCCAAACCAGTGAGGTGTTCAATGTCTCGCACCCGAGCAGTGTGCATCTTCATGAGATCCTCTACCCACTTGGACTCATCCTCTGAGCTCTGCAAGGGAAATGAAGCAATCAGATTTTATTTTTTCCTAGAAGAGATTATCTAAATGGTCATTTTCCACACTTCTGCGCACAGACCCAAAGCTTGTTGTACCGGCCTGACCTTCCTGTCTCTACTGAATCCCTGTCAGAAATGCCCCCACAATTCCATTTTTGGCAGTAAAAAGTTGTGCCAGACAAATGAGAAACGCGGCGTGAAGAGGTGTAGTTCTCACTGGGTTCTCAAAACACAAGACAAAATGAGGAATATTGTGCGGAATCCAACCATTTGATTTTCTTCTCAGCCACTGAACGTAGGGTAGGGTTGAAAGCACCACACACCTAACCTGGGATGCTCCTCTGTCTCACAAAATAAACAAAGAGCTCGTGCCTAGCACAGGAAGCTAGCGAGCATCCCAAGGCTGCTCAGAAGACCCATCAGATTCATCAACCGCCTAGCCAACGGCAGTGAGTTACTATCTGATAATGAGTTCAGCTTGAAACAGGTCAGTTGATGTATCTGGCACTTTGGGGCCCCAAAATTCTGAGTTGGAAATGGCGGCTCCACTGTTTCCTTGCTTCAGTGACTTGGTAAAGCTACTGAACACTCACTCCCCAACCCCCGCTCCAGCTTCATTGATTCCCATGGCCACTAATGCTGTCTTCAGCAGCTCGCTGGGAGGTAGAAAAAAATTCAAAGGCAGAGGAAGAAGGAAAAGGAGTCAATAGTAACACCACCAAAGAAGGGAAGGGGGTCTCCTTCTGCCTTAGCTCCTCACGTAATAACCTCATTGGCAAAACTCCAGGCTAAAACCATGCAAAATGACAGAGCAACGTATTCAATGTCTAACTTGAAACTTAAAGATGCTTCAGATAAAGAGACCCTCGCGTCTCAAAAATATTTCAGTTTGGAGGGAACATTGTGAAGGGGCGTATAATAAGATCACATGAGTGTCCTATGAATTAACCCGAATTAAGTTATTACTCTTCGTTAGTAGCCGGGGGCAGGAAGGACTTCACAAATTATACCACTACCTCATACCTCAGGTCTGAAATGTCCAGCGAGAGTCTTTAGAGAAGTCTACAGGGTGCTGCACAGCCCAGGGCCAAGAATGTTCAGGCATGCCCTCGCCTAACTCTTGACCACTGGCGATCTCAATGAACCAGCCACCGAGGCCCAGGGACCTGCAAAGGTTTTCTCAGAAAGCTTCAACCCACACAGACCTGGACCAAGGGTGACGGTAGCTCAGGCCAAGTCTAAAAATGTACCGTGAGCTTGTTGGTTCAGGAAACCAATGCCTGGCCATTCCAGGCAACGTGTAGAAATGGCTTTGCAGGCAGAAGCTAGGATTCGGACCTTTCATAACCTGCCCCCCTGCCTAAGCTAACCAAGATTTCTGCAACTCCCAATAAAGTCGAACCTAAATTTAGCCCTACCCGCAAGGCTACTGACGAGTCCTCAGCATCACCGTATAATTAACAATGTAGGAGGTCTCCTGATGTGTCAAGACCCCCTCAGGGTAAGCATGAGTTTATATTTTGGGAGAATTTTCATATTTTGCTCTTTTGTTGGATTTCTCAATGGTCAGTGCGTCCAATGTTTCCTTTCAAAATGGAGTTCTGTGGGTGTGTGAGCAGGCTTGAAAGAGTTTTTCCTAATTCAAAAAATCACGGCCAGCTAGAATGGTAAGAATTCAAGGAAATAGGAAAAAAATCAAAAAAAAAAAAAACAAATTAAAAAATAACAGAATACTAATGCAATCACAAACAATTATGATTAATTTCTGCACTATTGATAATCATTCTTTTTAAAGTTCAATTTATTATTTTTTACGTTCATGTGTATGAGTGTATGTTCATGTATGTCTCAGCACCACCTGTCTGCAATGCCCACGGAATGCAGAAGAAGTGGCCAAGCTGGGATCCAAACTCTCCCATCGCCATCCTGCAGTGATTGGAGGAGTCCCAAAGAACCGAGATATACTGTAAACAGCCTACCGTACGTATAAACGTCTGTGTGACATGTACTCCGTCTTTTAATTTCGGAGCAATTTTGAATTTCATTTTATATGCGTTTAGTTTTACCTCTCCATGGGTTTTCAGGAGAACTGAGGCTTTCTCGAGGGAAGTACAGTGATGTTCCAAGAGGAATTATGTTCCGCTATGAACACCTGAGACTGAAACAGCGAGCTGATAGCGGGGGTCTGTCACTTCCCGTTTCCCCTCTTCTTCCCCCTTCCCAACCACACGTGGGGCCCCAGAAATCCTCTGGCTACAGTACTTCTGCCTTCCAGCCTTCTCTTTAAGTGTCTAAGACCACACCCCAGGTCCAGTTCTGTGACCTCATTCTTATGAATCCTGCCAATACCTTTTGAACACCGTGTTCAACCTCCACCAGCCTAAACTCCTTAGAGCAAAACCTAAAATGTTGCCCTTCTGATGAAAGACTTTTTCTTGTTTATCTAATTGCACAATAAGAAAAACTCCCCAAGTTCTCTGCAGATAACTGCTAATTATCTTTGGAATTTAAAGTTCCCTACCCTACCAGCTCACCATCATCTTTTAGTAAATGGAAGTTCCTTAGAAATCATCACACAGGCAGGAGGAAGAAAGAGAGACCTTCCAGGGTGACGAGGTGACAAGAACAATGTAAGAAGAGGATCTACACAATGCTCGGACCATAACACACACTTGGCAGATGGGAACAACTTCGACAGCTCTTACAACCGGTGTTAATGCAACGACCACTACAATTGTAAATTTTTGATAACAGGCGATTTTTATAAACATCACCCATCACTTCTTAGCCTTTTGGCTACTATCAAGTGTAAAATACTATCTCTCATCAAATTCGATATTTGAGGAAAATGTAACTAGCTGCTTATACCATAGTTCACATTTCCATTATTTCCTAAAGTCTTTATTTTGCTTTGAACAGTCAGGGCCTGAATTCTTCATCCATAATTGAAGCCTTTGTCCAGGAGCCACACTGTCCAAGAAGCATGAAGACCAACCGTTATGGCATTTTATTTTATTTTTACTTTTTTTCTGAGGCAGGGTTTCTCTGTGTAACAGCTATCCTGGAACTTTTGTAGACCTCAAACTCACAGAGATATTCCTGCCTCTGCCTCCCAAGTGCTGGGATTAAAGGCGTGTGCCACTACACCCAGCTGGCCTTTAACTTCTTAGTGTAGGTATTTCTGCTCATGTTTTGTTTTCAGCACTATGTGGTAGGCTGCCTAGAAGTTTATGGCTGTGGCTAACAATATTTTTTTCTCCTAAAACACTTTACACAATTTAGGTATTTGAGTGTAATTTATTGACTAACAATCCCATTCTAGAGAGCCTATCCCTGTTCCTTCTATTGGTGAAATTAAAGCATATGGGCTATTACTTCTAGAATCAAACCTGCAGCAAAGAGTTTCCAACACAATAAACATATATGAAGAGAATATATGACTTCTCCCTGAGTCTTAAATCTGTACACACAGCCTGGTCTGTCTTCCTGCTGAGGGCTGTTCCTTTTTGTAAATTTAATATATCTTATTTATTTTATGAGTATGGGTAATTTCTTTGCTTGGATGTCTGAGCAACAGGTATATGCCTGGTGTGTCCATAGAGGCCAGAAGAGGGCACTGGAATCCTGTGATTGGAGGTTCAGGTGGTTATGAGCAATTATATCAGCGCTGGGAATTGAACTCTGGTCCTCTCGAAGAGCAGCCAGTGCTCATAACCGCTGAACCGTCTCTCCAGCCTCTGCTAAGGGCCTTTCCATTATATCATTCTGCTTCTTAGCTCTCTCCATGTGAAAATAAATAATACAGGAGTCCTGTGTGCTGTGAGATGGCTGCTGTATTTTCCCATAGCCAGCAACAAACGATAACCTGACTAATAAGTGCATGTGTGCATGTGTTTTAAAAACTTTTATTATGGATGTTTCTAAGCATCCACAAAAGAAAAGATCAATATGGTAAATGTTTTTGAACTCTTATTCTATCTCTACTATTATCAAAATCTACTATTATTTTCCTTTTTTGGTACATCCTTTTGTGAAGAAAAGAAAAGTTCAACATAGAAAACATAAATAGAACTATGTTACATATATACACATATGCACATGCACACACATCTACACACACACTAAGAAAACAATACAAAATTATTATTATGGAATGCCAGGTCCCTATATATGCAGTACCGTTCTACTTGAGTCGTTCCCCTTTCCGCCTGGCTGGGTGATCCATGTGCTTTGTTCTGGTTCAATAGTGGGGGTACAAGTTAGTCTGAGAGCTCAGCCTGGAGGACTCTGCCTCTGAACTTACATTGCAGCTTTCGTCGTTGTCGGGCCGGTGAGGAAGGATGAAAGAGGACACAGAGAGGGGACCATCACACTTGTCTGCGGGCTGAGTGAAGTCCAGGCAGCTGGTGATGATGCTATAGTAGTGAGTTGGGACAGGAATAGAGCTGCCTTCCACATACCTGAACCAGGAAAGTCAGTAAAATTACAAGACACATCAGAATGTTCTCTTAAAACTTGCTTACCCATGACAACACCCTACTGGCCTACGTTAAACAAACATGATGTTCTCTCTCTGCCTGGAATTGTCTCCCTGTCTCTACCTGGTGGAAACAGAAAGGTATTCCAAGAAAATACACTGGCTGCATTGAAGAGCTGGAGGCAATCAACGGTGACTCGAATAATGGCGTAGAGCAAGGAGCTGGAAAAGTCTATAAAAGACCAATTGTGATGGTTTCTGAGAGCCGGGATCCAGCACTTAGGGGCTGTGGTTTAGGCTGCATTACTCCATTGGAGGTCTGGCAGATACAGAGTGCCAATATTAGATTTGTGTTTCAGAAAGACGACTTTCGTAGGTACAGAAAATGGTCCAGAATCCCAAGAGACTGGATGTAGAGGAATCACTGCACTTTTAGCCTACACTGAGAGCCTGAACTTGGTACAAAGGAAGCACTAACTTCAAAAGTGGGAGAGGAGCCTCATGCTATTAAATGGGATTTCTCCAGTAGAGCCAAGTGTACACATTTAAATCCCTCACCCAGCTTGACGCTATAATTTTAATCATTTTCTAAATCTTGAAATTGAGTGACCTTAATTTTGTTTAAAGCTATCAAAATGACCAACAATAAATATATGTAATTAAGATGAAATTTCTCTTTTCAATTGCTGAAAAGGAAGTTAATGTCTATACTATTAATTATCTGTATTTCAAAATAGTATTTTGTTTGCTAAGTATCTATTTTATTTATACACTCTGTGCTGATTTCTGAATATTTGTGGATGTATAAATGGCCTAGACTACATACTCTTATAAGCACAGTGTTTACCTTACCTTTTTATATCCCAATAGTACCAATAGGAGAGAGATAATAGGATTCAACCAAGGTCTTCATGCAACTTTTTAATAAGCCATACTGACTCAGAAGATAGAAAAGATTCCAAAACTCTCCAGAAATCATAAAAATCAATTAAAATCACAATTTGCCTACGGAAGAGTCCCTGAGGAATAAATGATAATTTCAAAAATATTGATATCCTTTTCCATCACAAAAATCAAAATTTTATTCTAGCTACTAAAGCCACACTTAATCAAAGATCGAAGACCACTGAAGATCTTAATAATGAGATTCAAAGACAAAATATTTAAGGGCATGAACTCTTCTCTAGCATAGAGATAACCTTGAAGGACACCTCAGAACTCAGGCATCTCACACAGAACAGAAAAGAGAAGCTCACTGTCGGATTTCATCCTCAGTGTCGCGTAAGCCATCGTAATTGTAGTCAAAAACTGGTCCACTGATTACATTGACTCCATTCCTTTCTGAGGCATATTTCTTCACCAAAACCCTTTGGAAATAAGTCCAGATACCTGTACGAAGACACAAATCAGTCAGTCCTTTGTGCACAAAAAACAATCGTTTCCAGACAAACTCTCTGTAGGAGGCTTTCTTCAAGTGCAATGTCAGGAGCCAAGAGCAGCTGTGGCCATCAAAACCTGTTCTCCAGTTTTATCTTTGTTTTGCACTAAAACTTGTGAAAGGAAAGATAAGAGGAAGCCGACAATGCCAGGGAGGCAGTAAGCCTGGCCCAGTAGGTCAGGGGAAGTTCCCAGCAGAGGCAAAGAAGCAAAGATCTGAAAGCTGAATGGGTTCGTATATCTCAGGCAACGTCGTAGGGGCAGAGCATGCCAGATAGAGAGAGTTACAGTGTTAGCAGAAGAGGAAGTATCTTAGCCATTGGGCACGTAAATCTTTAGAGGTCAGACAAAAGGATTTCTGAAGCTCTAGGACTAGGGAATGGGCTCAGTTGGCAGTGTTTTTCTAGCATACACCAAGTTCGGCCTTCACTCTCGGCACTGTATAGACTACGTAGGTTAGCAAACGACTCTGCCCAGCATCCAGGAGGGAAGGAAAGAAGGAGATCATCCTCAGCTTCACAGCTAGTTCAAACGCAGCATGGACTGCATGGGATACCATCTCCAAAGGGGATTAGAGTTGAAGGAGATAGCTTTGTGGTTGGGGTGTGTCTAATGTGTATGAGGCTCTGAGTTCAATACACACTACTAAAAAAAAATGGCATAACGAATGCTCACACTCTAGGGACCAACAGTTGGCTTTGCGGGCCAGAGTATACGGTGCTTACTCAGTTCACAGAATCACTATCATCCACAAATATTCGTCTTGTGAACAAACAGACTATATAGTCAAAGAAGCTAAAATAATAACTTGCATAAAATCATTTGATTTCATATTCTGATAAACAAGAATATTCATAATCTTCTCCTGGGTTTTAGGGTCAACATTCAGAACAACATTAGCACCCTAAAGGAAAAGGGTGTTCACGGTCTTTGCAAACATGCTCACTACATAAATACAGATGTTGGGAAGGGTGCAAGTGACCTCTAAAGTTCAGTAAGATTCATAAAAACAGAAAGGACTGCAGGTTAGAACATGGCTGAGTTCAGCTCTACCGCTCATGGCCTGGGTCACTTTCTCTGCTGTCAATTTCCGAATTATAAGCAAGGACTAGATCACTGGCCAGCTTCCCTCCCACGCAGGTCAACTGGAGGGAGTTTATATAAAAGGTCTTCAAAGGGCATAAAATATGAACCATTGCAAGGTATTTTTAAAACCAGTATGGGGAGGGGGGAAAAAGTAAAGGGTAAATTTAAAATATTTATTTTCTAAGTAATAGTTTATTAGGTAAATATACTTACGCTTGAAAGCGGGATACATTGGAACCATGTTGGTTACAAGGAATGCGTCATATTTAGCTTCTGGGGAAGAGCTCAGATCTAAACATCAGAAGAGCAAACAGAATACATTGCTTACCAAGGCTGACATCAACAGAAGAGCAGTCTTTAGACCAACCCAAACAGCTCGAAGCCAGCAGACCTGAACTTTTATTTCCACTTATCTCCTCTATTAGACACTTCCGACTTCACGCCCACTCGGTCGCTTCACCGCCCTCCACGCTCTCTGAAAGTATTTACAGCGCTTTTCTTCCTACAGCGTTCTGGAGTCTATAGTTCTCTGATACCGTTACTGTGACTTAGACTCTTAAAAAATGGCATTAAGATAATAAGATGTAATTTTTTTAGGAAATCACCTCTGCAGGACTGTGCCACTAAATAGCCTCCCACCCACGCTCAGGCAAATGACTCTTATTAAACTCAATGGGCCACACACAAAAAGGGGGCGTGGAAACGGGAGGGAGACTTGGGGAGAAGGTAGCTCCAAGCAGGAGGCAGGGTGACAGAGGGCAATGGGGGATAAAAATGACAAAAACACATCATATAAACATATGGAACTGTCAAATGAAAACCCTTTCTTAAGAAAGAATTAATGTCCTCATAACTTACTATTTCTTCCGCATGCCGCTTTAACAGTGTGAAGGAGAACACGTTTCCCCTATACTTTTGATTTTTCCAGAAGAGCAGGATGTTTATAAGATGGTCATTTTCAGGCTCAATTTTGGGAGAATTTCACAGCCTCCCAAATGCTTCCCCATGAAGAAACCCTGGACCACTGAAATCCTAACTAGCAAGCTTTAAACTCTGGATCATACATCCCAACCTGACATGCGCACACACGCGCACACACACAGTGACCAGACCCTAACGCTGCAACTTACAGGGAGGAAAAAGGAATCCATATGACATCTGTTTATCATTTTTATAGGCCAAACAGTTCTGACTGAATCCTGGAGACACACGAACGTCAGGGCGAACACAGTTAGTCAGATGCTCCGGGATGCTGGAGACCTCGGCCTGCATGTGGAGTCAGAGACACTCATGGATTGATGCTTTACAGAGATGAGACCAAAGAGCATGAACAAAGCTAGAGTTTCTCTTATGAACAGCTCAAACCCAAACTTGCAAGCTTCTCATAGTTCATAATCTGATATTTTAAGTCCCTTTAAAAAGTCATTCTTTAAAAAAAATACAATAAGACTATAATTCTCGATCTCTTGGTTGTCTGCAGTAGAATCTTTCTTATCAAAGTCTGAAGTCGAACAATTTATAAAGTGGAAATTCCACAGCTGCAAAGGTCATTGAAGAACTAAAACCCCCAGCTAGGCCTGGCAGTACACAAGTAAAATCCCACCCTTCAAGAGGCAAAATCAAGAAAGCTGCTCACAAAATCATGGCCAGCCAGGTCTGTATAGCAAGTTCCAGATTAGCTAGGGTTATATACCAAGACTCTGCCTCAAAAGCCAAGCAACAAAAGCCAAGCAAATGGTCTTTAAAATAATAGACAAGTGCTGGGAAGACAGCTCAATCAGTAAAGCACTTGATTTGCAAGCCTATGAGAACCTGAATTGGATCCTCAGAACCCAAGTAACAAGTCAGGCACAGCGGAGCACAGGTTCTAGCAAGCCTAGCTGACTTGGTAAGCACCAAACTAGTGTGAGCCCCTATCTCCAAAAAAATGAGGTGGATGGCATCCATGATGAAACACACACATACAAATACATATGCATACACACACACACATATATATCTTCTTTTTAAAGCATACATATCTATCTTTCTGTCTCTCTCTCTCTGTCTATCTGTGTGTCTGTCTGTCTGTCTCTCACTCTCTCTCTGTATCTACTTGCATGTATGCACACATAGTAAAAATTAACAAGATTGTTGGGGAAGTAATAATCTTGTTATTTACATTTACAAGTTAAAAATATACTTCTAAGTATATATACTTGATATATCTAATAGATGTGAATTTCAACTACAAAATAAGCTGTTCTAATTTCTGATCTATAGCTTTGCATCACATCCATATGAAGTTCAAACTCCAATTAAAAACGTTTGTTATTCAAATACAAACAGGGGATAGAGAGATCGCTCAGCAGTTTAGAGCACTTGGTGCTATTGCCAGAGGACTTGAATTCTGGTCCCATCACCTACGTGGTGAGTCACAACCATGCATAAATCCAGTTCCAAGGGATCCTATGCCCTCTGATTTCTGAGACATAAGGTGCACATACGCGCATGCAGGCAAAAACACACAGAAACTAAAATAAGGAAATCAAATCTTTTAAATTCTTGGCAACTTTTAAAATGTAAGATAAAATACAAAGAAAACATTGACAGCAAGGTCGGGCTGAGCATGGTTATATCTGGGGACTTGCTACTTCTCACTAAATCTGATTGCTAACAGAGAACTGCCCTAAAAAATTAACATCTATTAAAACATACTATAATTTCCACTATACCAAAAGAAAAAAAAGAGAAAGAGAAAAAAAAAAAAAACAATCAAAAAGAACAAACCTTGATGGCTTCTGTAACTATTGGGCAAATGTAACATGTGAAAAAAGAATCTAAAAACATTATTATATTTCTTTCAACGCTTACATAATATAGTAGTCAGACAGAACAGTGAATGAAGACTAATTTTAAAAATGTCTTGCAACGAAGCAGGTAAAAGTGTTTCCTCCAAGACTGACGCTTGAGTTCAATCACAGGACCCACAGAGTGGATGGAGAGAACCAACTCCATAAGCTGCCCTTTGACCTCCATCGGCACGCCATGGCACACGTGAGCATGCATGCATGCATACACGAAAAGAAATAAATAATATCACAGTAGATGCAACAGAAGGTTTCTTCAACCAGAAAAACAGTTAAGGTCAAATCTATTCGTCATCAAAAAACACTCATTATACCAAATAAAGTGTAAAAGGCCCAAGTTTCTCAATAACCTGCTTAGAAACGGTATATGACGACCAGAGAGGCATCAGGAATATTTCGCTATAGCCACTTTCAAAATCCGTGTGGTACAAGATATCGTATCTAGTCCGGTAAAGCACTGCAGGTCGTCCATACAGGAGGTGTCTCTCTGAGAAAGAAAGAAGGGGGAAAAAAAGCTGTATTCAATGTATAGTCAACTTTATTCCAACTATGAAATAACAGAAGAGAGTCACGATGCCCACAGTCTACAGTTTACCAGCTTACTTATTAATCAAGTTAGTGTTCCTAACACTTCTGTGGTTTATCTGATCACCTTACCAAGGGTCAAAACGACAATATAAATGCTATAGCTAGGAAGAAGCTTTTAGAAATGGTCAGATTTAAAGGTCTGTAGAGAAGGAAACATACAGTAAATTCTGCGATGAGTCAGAGATGGGGAGCCAGTAGGATTGGATTTTACATCATTAAATGATTTGACCCCTGAAGAGGTTTATGGAGTTAGTCAAGGACTTCGTTAAGAGCAAGGCTCTTTCTTCCCATTATTTGCCAACTGCAACAGAAATGTGCATTATTCCAGCATAAAGAGAGAGTAGTTAGCAGCCCTGTTGTTGGGCTTGAACTTAAAGGAACATGTATAGATAACAGAAGCAGGCATTCAAAAGGGTCCCTCAAATATAGACGAGAAGTCCATCTATTACCAAAGAACTCCCTCTCTTAAAATCCCTGAAAATGGAGTTGGGCTCCTATAAGAAAGATGGTCATGGAAGCCTTATTTACTCTTTGAGGTGATAGATAAGAATTCAGTACTCCAATCCACGGAGATGCCTGGAGCTTAACTTGTCCACTTGGGAGAGACTAAACTCTCATAAATTTATGGAAACTAGGGTCCCTGCACACCCACATACTTAGAGGTCAGAGCCTAGTTACAGAACTCACAATTCCTAAGTGACTTAGAATGAAACCTGCTTTTACTGTAATTTTTATTAAAGAAAATCTGGCAAGCACTCACTAAATATTATGTATACATGTTGCTTTAATTAAATTGCTACCCTTCTATGCAAGTACTAGAGGAAAAAAAAAGTGTTCAGACAACACTTGGCGAAACCCTCCCAAGTAGAATTGCTGATTTGCGGCAGAGTGGCCAATGCTATCCCAACGTAAGCAACTTCAGGGAAGTCTGGCTTCCTGAGCTTTGAAATAAATGGAGAAGTCTCACTTAAGCTGCCAAGCTTGGGGGCCCGCCCCTTAGAATCAGAGTGTATCATAGTGATATTAAATAAATAAAATCTAATAAACAAATTAAAAGCCAGCAAATCCAGCAATAGTACTTGGGGGCCATAAACCGACCTAGATCTTCTTTTCAAACTCAGACCAAACCTTTTCTAAGTTCAAAATTTCCATTAAGGTTTTTCTTGTTTTCATTTTGGCTGCCTCTGAATTTCCTGGTTGCAGCTGGAAGCAGAAGTATCAGAATTCTTTGAGAAGCTGTTCTCTATCGGTTAAATTTTAACGCTTACCAAGGGAGCGGGTTTGAATAAGAATGGCCTCCATAAGCTCATATATTTGAATGCTTAGTCACCAGGGAGTGGAACTACATGAAAGGATTAGAAGGATTGGGAGTTGTGGCCTTTGGAGAAAGTCTGTGACTGGGGGGGGGGGTG